TAACTAAAATTACAATTGTGTAACATTAGTTGTCAATCTGACTTCTAAGGCAAATGGAAAGGAGCTCGTTTAAAAGTATTACAGGAGTTTTTCTGTTTTTCCAGTAAAGCTTTTTATTGCACAGCAGGATTCTGATGTAGACTAAATTCCTGCCTGCATCACCATATCATGCTGACAGTGCAGGGGATCCAGCAAGCACAAAATGTGCTTGATTTGGCCTCAGACGTATAGCTTGAGAATGACTGCTTTGGCACCTGTTGTACAGCAAACATCCAAGAAATGTAAACCTCTAATGGGAGCTGGTGTTGCTCCAGTATGCATCTACTTAGCGCTATTTGCATAAGTTCAGAATTCAGGCTGACATGTCCAACAAACAGATGGAGAATGTTTAGAGCTTTCAGCTGACACTGACCCAGCGATTGTGTTTACTTTGGCAGCCGATCTCCTATTTATGCACTTATCCAACCAAAACATCTTGATTGGCTTCATGGATTCCCACATGATGCATGAGATGGTTTTAGACCACAGGAACTATATAACACTCAACAGCAAACACCCAAACTAACAAACCCATAACAACAAAGCATATGATGTACTAACAGCCAGGCTACTCTTGCTGAAACCAGTCGGGAGAAGAGCAAAAACATCTTTTCCTCTGAGAAAAGCCTCCAGAGCAGTGCTCTTCTTTCAGTGAAGAAATACTCTTTAATTCCGATAAAACTTGCTCGATAGCCTAACGCTAGTTTCATCGGCTGAAGCCGCCATGTTCTTTAGACTGAAGTGTCACGCTTCTCGTTGCGTCACACCTCAACCCGCCTCAAAGCCAACGCTGACTGGACGTTCGTTTGGTGAACGGCTCCAAATTTTCTTCAACGGAGAGTCTCCAGACTGATTAGCGAGTGAAATCTTGAAAGCTCGCAAAATCAGGATGGTCTCATGAGGCTAGGAACTTGGGACCCTAGGCAACTGCCTAGTATTACCTAATGGTAATTAGGTAATACTAGGTAATACCCCCCCACCCCCCGGTTAGAGCCAAATTGTGTCATATAGGCTTGGTGCTGGGAAATTGTTTTCTTTACACTTAAATAACCTTTAAGACCTTTAAGAAATAAAAACTAAATAACCAAAAAGCTAAAGGCTAATGAACAGAAACCCTTTGGTCCATCAGTGCTGCTGACTGAGCACCCTGAGTATGAAGGACAAAAACTGACAATTAAAAATAAAACCATGTATATATTCCCTCTAGATGTGCTTTCATTGAGGAATTATTATATTTTCTATTCCCTTTCCCTTTAAAAAAGCTGTTGTTCTTTTTACATCTCATCTTCTCCGTTTTTGTTTTCTTTACCCTATGCATCGCCGCCTCTCTTTTGAAATTCATTAGTTCATATGTTGTTTCCCCCTCTTTCTGTCCGCTTTAGAGCTGCGTTACATACGGTGGCCCTGAAGTGCAAACTGCAACTACAAATCTAAAAGCGCAACTACATTAAGGAAATCGCAACTACATAAAGCAAAGCGCAACTACATTAAGGAAAACACAATTACATTAACCTACCGAAAAAGGTAGGTACCAGTGGGAAACATGAGACATCGCTGATCAGACGACGGCGCCGTTTGACCCTTGAACCAGAAGTTGCGTCGTCGGAACAGTCCAGCTTCTTTTAAGTGTGCCTTCAGTGTACGCAAACTAACTGAAATTTCGTGATTAGTCTTGAGTTGATTAGTCTGAAATTTTGTGATTAGTCTTGAGCATGTCCAGTATCACCTCGTACTGTTTTAATTTATTTTGAAAAAAATGTATGTGTTTGAGGGGCAAAAACCAATCTGTTAAACAGATTGTTTTATAAATTGACTCGTCATCCGAACTTCTTCATGTGAAGCTGAGAACCTTCCTTCAGTTCCAAATTGAGCTCTTCTGGTTTCCACAAGAATTAAAGAGTCTGTTTTAAAACATTTCCCACGTGTTTTTATTGGCAAATCGATGAAACCTTTGCTGCAGAGTGAAATTATTCCTCTGGCACTCCATGTTGATAATGCACACCCATCTTCTGTTTCCCATCCTCTCCTCAGTGTCTGAGAAACGACCCTGGCTCTATATCCCCCACATGTCTTGGTTCATGCTGGAAACTGGAAAATGAAAAGCAAATATTATTGTTGCTGCTGTTGTCAACCTTTGACATGAAGCAGGCTTGCTTTTCTTGATTCGGTTCTTTTTTGTTGGGTTGTTTTGTGTGGCAGGGTTACTGCCACCCTCCTTTGCTTTGTCTCGGTCAAAGACCCCCTCAGGCCTTGGCAGAGGTGTCATTCAGCTACAGCAGTTGTAACCCGACGTATAATCATTAGTCTAGTTGTAAAAAAAAAAAAAGGAGGAGGATGGTGTTTTATTTTTATTTTGGAAGCATACATAGCCTAATAATATGGTCTATTAGCCTAAAGCACGGTCTGGTTATTACATATCAGGTACGTCGGTCATTGACCTTGACCAAGGCACCTTGCAGTAGAACTGCAGTCAGTCCCTGGAATGGCATGACTATCACTGCCCCTACAAAGTTAGGGACTAATTAACCCCTGGAATCAGCTTCATAGTCATGGTAGGACACTTCTTTGATTTTATTTATTTTGCTCAGGCTACTCATGAGCTAACCTGACTCCGCCAGATGGATTTGCTCCGCATGTCCATCTGGAAACCTTCCGTTGAAGTAATTTTGGGAAGGGGCGAAAATACTGGTTAGCTGATTGGCCTATGTTGGTGATAGACGGGCCAAATAAACCAATCAGATCAACGAAGCATATGACGTACTAACAGAGCGATGACGAAAACACAACCACAAGCCAGGCTACTCTCGCCGAAACCAGTCGGGAGAAGAGCAAAAACATATTTTCCTCTGAGAAAAGCCTCCAGAGCAGTGTTTTGCTCTTCTTTCAGTGGAGAAATACTCTGTAATTCCGATAAAACTTGCTCGATAGCCACGCTAACGCTAGTTTCATCGGCTGAAGCCGCCATGTTCTTTAGACTGAACTGTCGCGCTCCTCGTTGCGCCACACCTCAACCCGCCTCAAAACCAACGCTGATTGGATGTTCGTTTGGTGAACGGCTCCAAATTTTCTTTAACGGAAAGTAGTGTGAAACCTTGAAAGCTAGCAAGGTCAGGATGGTCTCACGAGGCTACTTGTGAGCCCACAGCCTGCCAAATGTTGAACGGGCAGTTTTATTGCCATTACTGTTGATATATAGTAGAAATTTTACACATTCAGTCATAAAATGTCGCAGGGGATGGTCATTTAAGAAGGGGGATGCCGTCCCCCCTCAACTCGAGTACTGTGTATAATCACAGAAGTTATGTTGAAAAGTTACATACTGTTGGTTTAACCTGAGTAGTCTGAAGAGTAGGGGTGTAAATAATAACCGTTTTGTATCGATGCATCGATCCAACAGCCGACGATCCGATGCATCGATACGTCCGCAAAAGAATCGAATCGTGTTTTTTTTTTTTCCTCCGGTCTATTTTTATCCATTTGCTCCTGGGCGTAATTCTCCCTCCCGTGCTGCGGTGGCGCTAAACCTATTTTGCCCTCCTGCCTTTCTTCCTGGTTATACTCTTACAGCAGTGTCTCGCAGTGAGCCTGACACAGACATTTTTGATTTATGCCCAATATTGAAGCGTGGTCTGTGCTACACGCTGTGGGTCTAGATACGGCCGAGGCGGGGAGGAAGTGGGGGCGAGCTTAGTCCGACGACGGAGGGACATGAGGGCCAAAAAGAGCGGAGATCCAGGTGGAAAAAGGCTCCCAGCGGTCTCACGCATCTCGCTCTTCTAGCGGGTCAAACTTCACGAGTTGTTTTCCGCAATTTCGGTCATAAAAACAAAACAAGCCGACCTCCTGTCTGCGGCACTGTTTGCGGTCAGCTACAATTTGGGAGAGGAGCAGCGGAGCGTCTGTGGAGGGGTCGGGGACTCATTGCACTGATTTATTGCAGTATTTTTTGATGCAACTTTTCTACTTCTGCTGTTTGCTGTTGTTTCTAAAAAAAAAAAAATGCATAACGATATTACAGCTTTCATTGATTTATTTCAAATTTAAACATTGCCTAGCCCTTGAAGGTGTAAAAAAAAAAAGAAAAAGAACCAATTAATCGAATCAAATCGTATCGTGGTGTATTATTAAGTATCGAAAATAATCGAAACGTTGGGCCAGGAAATCGATACTGAATCGAATCGCCATGATGGATGTGATTTACACCCCTACTGAAGAGTGTGGTTGGTTATATGACAGATGATGGATGGATTACCAAGTGGTTGTGATATCATTGAAAGATTGCTCTCAGATGGGTTTACGTATTTCACATTCCTATTATCAGGAATGTAACTGGCAGTGATAGAACTTCCTACCAAGATGGCGGCAGACATTCTACCTTCACAATCCCTTACTGAGCTTTAGATGGAAGTCAGTTCTCAGTTGGAAGGCAACACCTAAGCTCCAGTGCCCAAGAGCGGTTCGTATTTAGACAGTAAAAAGGAAAAACAACCTTTCTGAGGACCCTTAAATGAGACAAATTCTGATTCCATTTGAGGTCATTCATACCTTCTAGAATAACAAAGTGATTTCAGATCCTTTGGGGACGTTATTTCCTGCTGGAAAGTCTGCATGGGTGGTGGACAACATCATTGCACATCTTTCCACATGTGTGCATATGTTCTGTTTCTGTTGGACTTCCTGACCTCAGTCACATTCCTGTTCTTTCTTTACTGTCCGTGTTCTGGTGTTTTCAAAAGATGTGGAGCACATTAAGCGGAAACTTAAACCCTGACATGTTTTATTTTACTGTGCTGTAACATATTGTCTGAATTAAAAGCGTTAAATTTCTTCACACTGCATTTGAAACTGAGATTCAAACATGGAGGTTTAATTTGAGGGGTTTCCCTAAAGCACTGAGATTGTTGATGCTCTGGTTTGATGTTGTGGTTTTAACACCATCGTGTTCTTTACTCTTCCTGCAGACAAACGTTCCTCAAACCAGTCCAGCCCGAAGTGCGTCTCCTCGTCCTCTTCCTCCTCAGAGGTGGAGCCAAACTCCTGCTCCTCCTCATCCTCCATCCTCCCTGTCAGCCAGATGATTGACAAGGTGAAAGATTACTGCTCCACACGCACCGACAACTTCTACAAGAACATCATCATGTCCGACAGTTTCACCAACTGCACTCGGCTCTAGAGCTGCAGCATCACAACCGGGACGACCTTTTCTTGTCCCGTTGCAGCTTTTGTAAATATTACAGACGCTTTTTCAACCTTGGATGTGCCTACATCTGGAACGTCTTCAAGCTTTAAAGATTTCCTTGTCACCGACACCCAAAAAGAGCTTTAAAATCTTTGCAAATCTTAACCAGTACATCTTCTGGAACAGTTGTTTTTCCACCCTGGAGATTGGCATCATCTAATGCACCTAGAACCTTAAGGGAAAAGTTTTATTTTATTCTTTACTTCTGTGTTTGATGTATTTCTTTGTTAGTATTAGTTGATGTAGAAGAAGTTTAAAATAAATTTAGTTGAATAAAAACCAGATCAGTGGAATTAAGAACTCGTCTGCAAGGTTTCTATAAAACAAAAGTGAAACAGAATTGTTTTTTATTTAAAGGAACTCAAAGAATCAGCTTTATTGCAATGAATGTTTAAATCATAAAGAAAACAAAGAAAATACCAGACAAAGATAATCTAAGTAAATACAGAAGATAATGTGATTTGATTTATCAAGACCAAAAGCCTTGAACACAAAGTAAATTTTAAACACCCCTTCATTAGATTAATTAAATGTGATTAAGCACATTATTAAAAAGCCAGGCTTAGTTTTACCAGGAATACCCAGGGAAACCACAGAAAAGAGAGGTGTTCTTCGAAAAGAGAAAATAGCGTTAAAACTTCCCTGGAGAGCCGTTCATCAGCAATTCCTCCAGGAGGACCCAGAAGAGCTCAACAGCGTCCAATGGGCCGCAGCGCCACGGATAGGGTTCATTAGTCCAAAATAGGGGTGAAACGGTTCACAAAATCCATGGTTCGGTTCACGGTTTCGTGGTCACGGTTTTCAGTTCGGTTCGGTATATGTTGATTGTTAGCATGACATGTTGGTCGTGTTGCTGTTAGAATAAACAAAACGTGTTGCACGATGCTTGCACACTGCTTTTATCCACTTTCTTTCCGCCATCATCGTAGCTCACTCTAAATGCAAAGTGGTCCCATACAGCAGACCTATAAAGTGCTGCTGGCGCGTCTTCCAACTCCTGTTCTTTCCCAATCGCAATACCCACACAATTCTCCACAACAACTGATTTTTTCCTGCTACACCCGGCTATGCTGCTTTGCTTCTTCTTCTTCTTGTTTACTACTGGTGGTTGGCTTTGGTCGCAGCACTGCCACCTTCTGCTCTGGAGTGTACACGCGGCGCTTATGAGAAAAAGGAGCTGCGCATGAACCGAACGCAACACACGCGAACCGAACGGTTCGGACGGTTTTCATGAACCGTTCCATCCCTAGTCGAAAGCAAGAACAAGATACTGAGAGCTAACATGGATTTTTTGTGTAAACCACATTTCATGAGTAGAAGGAAATACCTGGAATTGGTGGTGGTGTATTGGTCTGAGGACGCGTTGCCGCTTATGGCGCAGTCATACCTTGAGTATTTAGCCAGCGTATGCCGAAGTACAAAAAAATGTATCAAAAACGTTGGCATACGTTGGATGAGTTAGGAGTAAGTTTTGTATAAGTTATGAGCATGCTGCCAAATGCGGCAAGTACGTCTCGCCCACGGCCACGACCAACAAGCGTCCTAGCAGACAAGAATCTGCCGCAACTGCAAACCTTCTTTCTTTCCTTCTTTTTCCTTTTTTTATTTTTGGGCGGGCGGGAAACAGCAGCTAGCTTAATACCGCTACTGCGAAGCTCCGGGCGCATTGCTGCCCCCCTCAGGACACTGGCTTGTGACATTTCATGCTGCTGTGCGTTATTCAAAAGTTAGCCTGCTGTTGGACATAAGTTCTGGACTCGTTATGAATACACTATATATACGGCCAAAATTTGAAAAAATACATTGAAAGTACAGCGTATGCTAGCGTTTTAAAAGATTCTGGGGCGTCAGGCATACGCTGGATGAATTGGCAAAGTGTGGACCTGAAGGACCAGATTAAACCAGCAATTCTACTCTAAACAACCCGATCATGTTGGATAGGAAGAATCTGAAACAGGTCATTCTTGCTGGAAAAGCCTCTAATGTAGCTCTAATAAAACCAAACACCAAAATCACCTAAAGGCAGATGTACTGTAGCGCCAAAATATTTCCTTCAGTTCTATAGTGCAGTGACATCTTACAGGGGGTAACGCATACTCCTAGTGGTCCACGAGTGCATTGCAAGGGGTACATTTTGTTTATGTAGTAAAATAAAATAGGGCTGGGATCGGTTTAACTTTGTGAGGACTCAATTGAAAAATTAAACAAGCTTTAATCAACCAAAAAGTGAGTTTTTCTTATATGCTTGAGTTATATGTTTCAGCCTGAGATCAGCTTTTTCTGCACAACTGACGTATCGGAGCTCATCAAAGCTGCTCAAGTGTCTTTATGAAAACAAAGTTAAGTTAAATTAAATCAGTCAGTCTGATTATAATTTTTGTTCTGTTATTTGTTCCCAATTCATGAAGTTTACATATAATTATTAGGGAGTTAAACAGAGGAGCTCCAGTTTTTTAAATACAGGTTTATAATAGGATTTTATTTTGTATTTATTTTTATTCCTTACTAACTTCCTGGCAACATAATTGTGTTGTTTTTTTATTTGAGATGGAAATCATAAAAGGCGTCAGAACCAAATGCTCATATTAAAAGATTAAGTTAAATAATTTGTATAGTTAGTTACCTTCCACTTTTGGACAATCATCAATTCTTTTGGCTGAGAGGGAAACTCACGGTAAGACGAAATGCCCAAAGGAGTACACAAGTCAAAAAAGTTGGGTAAACACTGCTATAGAGTGCTGACTTGTCATAAAATATTAGTTGTTTCCTTCCAAAGCAAAAGAGATACTCTTGCAATGCTGCATCTTCATGTCTGGGTGTACTTCGCTTTTTTTATGATATGATGCCAATTTTTTCAATTTGGATTTCCTTAACAAGTCCTGAACGGTCTGGGACTTTTTAGAAAAACATTACAACACCAGCAGTTGCTGTCACTGTGCAGATTAGAAGCCAAAAGAGCCTGTTAGTCTTAACTTGGAGCATAAACGATTGTGTCCTTCACATTAGAGCTGATCACAGAAAGTGGGCAGGTGTTTACTTATGGAGGATAAAAAGTGCCAAAATTAAACAAATAAATACAGCATTAAATAAATAATTAAATGTGTCAATAATTAATTAAATGTGGAATTAAATAAATAAATAAATGTGTCATTCATTAATTAAAACCACGTCACTAATATAAAGTGCCACAATTAAATAAATAAATACAGCGATAAACAATTAATTAAATGTGTAATTCATTAAATAAATAAGGAATTAAATATATAAATGTGTCATTAATTTAATAAAATACGTCTTCATTTTATTTAAAAAATATAAATAATTATTTCAGTGTGCATTTAATTATTTCATGGGCCTGTGTCGCAGTGCATCGAAACCATTAAAAGAATCTGTCAAACTCACCCATCAAAGTTAGGGGGCGGGGTTAACGCGAATCGAGTCTCTGTAATCGATTTGCTTCGCCTTAATGTGCAGGGTGACCAATCAGGTGTTAGATAACCGCCCCCTAACTTTGATGGGTGAGTTTGACAGATTCTTTTAATGGTTTCGATGCAATGTGACACAGGACCATGAAATAATTAAATGCACACTGAAATAACTATATACATTTTTTTAATAAAATGAAGACGTATTTTATTAAATTAATGACACATTTATATATTTAATGAATTACACATTTAATTAATTGTTTATCGCTGTATTAATTTATTTAATTGTGGCACTTTATATTAGTGGCGTGGTTTTAATTAAGGAATGACACATTTATTTATTTAATTCCACATTTAATTAATTATTGACACATTTAATTATTTATTTAATGCTGTATTTATTTATTTAATTTTGGCACTTTTTATCCTCCATATTTACTGGGCAGGCGCAGTGCGGTTAGGTAGGTGCTTCCTGCAGGGGTGGGTAATAGATGCTCGATGTGGACTGGTCATAGCCTCTCATTTTTCAGAGCAGGGAGGGGCTGCCGCTCAGAGAGCAGAACTTATGAGGATTACTCAGACATGCATGAATCAAGCAAAAAAAAACCTCTGTGCCCATTTCTGCTGAAGAGAAAGTTATAGTGAAAAGCTCCAAACTATTGATTCAAATGATGTAGGTCCTTCAATGAGTTAGTTTTTAGGTCTTTGTAGCGGAAATAAAGTTTTCATTATTTACTCAGGTGATCTTTGTCTGATTTTAATAATTTTGATGATCTAAAACATTCAGATGTGATGAAAAAGCATAAAAACATTTTGCAGAGGGAAGTCTTCACTTTATTTGTTGTAAATAAATCATCAGACAATGATAATTTCTCCAATATTTTGTCATCAGATCTTCATACAGCTGTGAGCTTCTAGTTTCAACAATCTGAAGGGTGGGGTGGGGTGGGGGAGGGTCCAGGAGGTCACTGGGGATGGAAAAGTCTGGTCACTTTCAGAATAAAAACAGAATTAAGTATGAAATTATAGCATACTGTTCAATAAATGATTTATTTGAATTTGGCATCCATGTTTGTCAAAGAACACTACTGCCACCTACTGGTTAGTGACGTCACGGTGCGGTATCGGCTGTTGATCAAGTCCCAGTGCTGTATCTGGTGTTTGTCACAACGCGCTATTATCCAAGTCATCTTGAAAACATTCTTCTTCCAAATGTTGGCTACATATTACGGGTTTTTTCTCTGGCCAGAAGTTCGATGGCAAATCCTCCCTCTTCAAGTTGGCGATCCAACGACCAACCCGTCCGTGGAGGATCAGGAATCAGAAAGGTGGAATAACTCTTTTTTTTTTCAATTTTACCTGATGTATTCCAACATCCAGCTGCCATGCACGTGGGCATTGTCAGTTTTTTTTTTTTTTTTTTTTTTTTTTTTTTTTTTGTCAGTTTCACTATAGCTCTGGTGAATTTCAATGGTGAAGTCCTCTGGAAATCTTCAATAATTGTTGTTGATTGCAGATGTGTCTAGTAGTTCCCATTGATTTTGCTGGTAAAGCGGGGAGAATGGCGCTAGGCTTACCGCACCGTGATGTCACTGCTGGAAGATGGCAGGAGGGAGGGGTTACTATATGTGGGCAAAAATGGCCGCTCCCAGACTCAGTGATCGCGATGAAATATATTCTTTTTACTTTTTTACTGATTAATTCTAAATTCATTAAATCACAGCAAACATATTAATTTTAGGTATAAATAATGGTTATTTCTTGCTGACCAGACTTTTCCTTTAACAATAATCACATTTTCAACATGGACGATACACTGATGTAATTTAGATGAGACTCTAGTTTGAAAATTAGTTCTCACCAGTGTTGCAA